GGAAACTTCTTTTCCTTCGACTGACTTCCTATCAGTGCTTCCTATTGATAGAATCGAACAGGAAGCCAGCTGCAAGGAAGGAAGCCTGGGAAATGCCATCTGTAGAATTCCAGTTCCATCAGTAGAGAGTAGAGCACGGCAGGTGTTGAGTGGAGAGACAACATGTAAATGACCAGCAGAGACCACCCTCTGGGCAACCTGTCATCTGTATATACCACTTTTCCCATATTTAAGATTCTTTTTTTTTTTTTTAAGACTTACTTATTTTGAGAGAGAGAGTGTGTGTGCGTATGAGCGGGAGGGGCAAAGGGAGAGGGAGAGAGAATCTCAAGCAGACTCCTCGCTGAGCATGGAGTCCAACATGGGGCTCGATCTCACGACCCTGAGACTACCACCCAAGCAGAAACCAAGAGTTAGCGGCCCAACTGACTGTACCATCCAGATGCCCCCCCATATTTAAAATTCTAAGCAAATTCATGAGTCTGCTTTACATTATGTAACTATCCTTAGTACAAAAAAAGATGCCCTCACCCTCTCCCAAAATGGGAGATGTTAATTCCTCTTTTAGGTCAGTCATAATCAAATCTAATGGAATCGGGACACCTCGGTGGCTGTCAGTTAAGTGTCCAACTCTTGATTTCTGTTCAGGTCATGATCTCAGGGTTGTGAAATGGAGCTCCATGTCGGGCTCACACTGGGCATGGAGCTTGCTTAAGAGTCTCTCTTTCTCTCCGTCTGCCCCTACCCCCCTTAAAAAATTTTTTTTTAATGGAATCGTGTGATGTTTCCCTGCTGGAAATGTTCCTATCTTGGGAGCCAAGACCGTGGCAGGGAGAGAAAGCAAAGATTCTGTAAGTGAGTTATTAGAGGTAAAAGTGAAAACACTTCCATCCCTTGATTTCTAGAATTAAATATTCTAGCTATGGAAAAAATAGCATTATATATTGGTCAGTGGTTAAAAGCATATACCACATCCATTTGGATAGCACCATTATTTCTCAGAGTATCATCTCTCAGATGGGGTCATAATGGAATATTCAGTTGGTTATTCTACCATTTTATCAGGTGAGCTGCTTCTGGGTGGCAGAGTACATGGCAAGTTTCATGGCAGCCAGAGAAGGAGGCTGGCTGACAGCCACAGGTCATCTTGTCCACCTGATTTCTGAAAGGCTCCTCTGTAGTGGGTCCCCTTTATTAAACATTGACACGAGCACTAAAACTTTATACTCTGTGCCCACTCCAAGAGGTCTATCCACCTGTCTTTCCCCCACATGCCTCTTCCTCACATGGCCACCAGTCCTTCTATTCATTTCTTTCTAAATCCTTAATTGTTTGGCCAACTTGTTAGCCATTGTCCATGATCAAGGTAAAATCTGTGCCCTGTGTCTATGTCTTTGTCCATGCTAAGTGGACAGTCAGATGCTCACGGGAGATTTCCTTTACTAGTGTCTTTCAGGGACACTCCTGATTGGAGTTGGGATGTTTCTGCCATCCACTTCCAGCTGCTGCCAGCATATTGTGCAGAACCATCTGTAAATCAGGCTTTAACTGTTTCTTCCTCAGTCAGCTAGTTTAGGGAACTCAACAACCATATGTGTGAGTGGAGGAAAGGCAGCAATGCACCAGGAGTAGGAGCTGTGGCATGTGCCCCCTGCTCATGAACTTATTTGTGGATTCAGGACCTGTTCAGTCCAATCTTGTACATAACATTTCATCTTGGTGATGGGGTGCTACTGCACAGGGCCAGGTGTATAATTTGGTGCATCAGTAACACCCAGGATAGGCAACTCAGGCATAGCCACTTGATGTCTGTGATCAGGCATCAAGCTCTAATACAAGGGCCTGGTGGCATCCCAAAAGCTCTTTTTCAAAAGGGGAATAGTTACCTGCTGGAGAGGTGTGATGGTTAATTTTATGTGTCAATTTAACTGGTCTACAGTGTACCCAGTACTTTGGTCAAACATTCTGAGTGTTTCTGTGAGAATGATTTTGAATGCATTTAACATTTAAATTGATAGTAAAGCAGATTGCCCACCCTAATATGAGTGGGCCTCATCCAATCAGTTGAAGGCCTGAATAGAACAAAAAGCTGATCCTCCCCCAAGGAAGAGAGTATTTCCTCCTGCCTGACTACCTTGAGCTGGGACATTGTTTTTTCCCTCCTTTGGACTCAGACTGAAACATTGGCTCTCCTGGGGTCTCAAGCCTTCCAGCCTTCAAACTGGAACTCGCCCACATTGGCTCTCCTGGTTCTCAGGGCTTCAGTCTTGGACTGGAACCACACTGTCAGCTCCCCCGGGCCTCCTGCTTGCCAACTGCAGATTTTTGGACTTATTACCCTCCAGAATCATTTGAGCCAATTCCTTGTAATAAATCATATATGCATTCTTTGGTTCTGTTTCTCTGGAGAACACTAACTAATACAAGAAGTATTGAATTTTCTCTCAAATTCTAAGGGCTATGATTCCCCTACTGGGGCTGGTTGTAGGCTCCATACAGCATCCCCTGTTTCCCAGAAACCTCTAACACCACTGGAGTTGCTGAGTCATTAGACCTATGAAGCAGAGCAACCTCCGCTGTAGCCTAGACCTTGTGCAGAATCTTTTCTTGCTCTGGGCCACAGTTAAAACTCGCTATCTTGGGGCGCCTGGGTGGCTCAGTCAGCTAAGTGTCTGCCTTCAGCTCAGGTCGTGATCCCGGGTCCTGGGATCGAGCCCCACGTTGGGCTCTCTGCTCAGCAGGGAGCCTGCTTCTCCTTCTCCCTCTGCCTGCCTCTCTGCCTACTTGTGCTCTCTCTCTTTGTCAAATAAATAAATAAAATCTTTAAAACAAAACAAACCTCGCCATCTTATGAGTTACTCAGTATATAGGTTGGAATAGCACCTAGATGCAGTATAGTGTTGCTCCCAAACCAAAAGATTCCTACAAATTGTTTTTTATGGTGGGGGGCATAAGGTACAACAGTTTGTCTTTCACTTTATTGTGGGCTTGTCCCAACTTGTCCCAGATCGTGGGACCCCTAAAAATGTCAACAAGGAGGCGGGACCCTCAATCTTCATGGTCTTTGTCTCCTACCTTCTGGCATGCATTTGTCTTACTAAGGTATCAAGGATAGTGGCTGTGTTCTGCTCATTGTGTCCAGTCAGCATGGAATCATCAAGTGTGATGTCCCTGACAGGTGAAAGCAAACTGCTACTCATGCTTCTTGCTAATCCATACAGGGACAAAAACATCTCTCCAAGTCAGTGGCTGTCTTCCAGGTGCCAGCTACTATGTTGATTTGTTACAGTGGAAAGCGTCTGGAAAACAGCTACAATTAGAATTACTCATTGATTAAGGACACTGTACTCTACAGTCTCCAGGACCCATCCACCTTCTACAGAGGCCAAATGGTGAATTAAATGCAGAAGCGATAGGAATCACCACCCTAACATCTTTGAAGCCTTTGCTGCTGGCACTAGTCTCTGCATGTCCCCTAGAGTTGCAGTATTGGTTTTAGTTTATCCTCGTAGGGAGAGGAAGTTTGTTCCTTCTTACCGTAATAGCCCTCACACCATGATCAGGGAGCAAATGTGGGGCTTCTGCCAGTTGCTAAGTAGGACTTTTTGGAACTATACTTCAGAAACTGGGGAAATTGCCATAGGGTGAGATCAATTCAGGCCAGAACCTCATTTATCACTTGACCTCAATAAGCCTCTCCTTTGACTGGTGGGTCACAATGGTGTTCTGGGTACCCAGGGATTAACACCAATTCAGAACCAATATCTGGCAATCCCTGGAAGGTCCAGATAGTTCTCTTTCCCAGTCTTCAGTCACCTTACTGCGTGGTTTCATTTACATTCATTTAGTAATGACTTACTAGGACATTATTTCAGGTCTCTTTGAGGAAGACGTGAAGGAAATGTTCTAGTATGTACTTGTGGTAGTATAGTACTACTTAGATCAAAGGTTCAATAAACCCAGTTCTGTAATTGATTTAGGTCTGCAGTGTATATGACAGGCTGTCATGCTCCAGTATGGCAAACCAGGTCAGAGTCATGCTCAAGGGACCTAGAGTTTCTGGTTGTTTTTGCTTTTGTTTGTTGGTTGGATTTTTTGGGTTATATAGATCAATTTAATACTTTAGTAAGCTGTTCATCTAGATAATTCCTAGAGACAACATGATCAACTAGCCATCACCAAAGATCCACCCCTGTTGTATATATATGGTAATTGCGTACACATTGTCTCTGGCATTTAACCACTATCACTTGGCCTTTGCCACCCTGGGACCTCATCATCCCCATTTCGGTGAAGACATCTCCCTTTGTGCCATTTCCATCCTATAGATGACAGCCACAATGTCTTAGTGAAGGAAGTATCCTCTGGACATCCAGGTTTCTTCCTCCACATTATCCCAGAGCTTCTGGCATCTCAACTTCACTGAATATAGTCCATCCTTGAGTTCCAGTTGTGGTCTGCCCATGAAACAAATTTTTAGAGCCATTCCCAAGTGTTTGAACTAACACATAAAATCCACAATCTCTGGTTAAGTGCACCCCCAGCAGTAAATCCAGCCTGTAGCCACATTGTTATCCCTCAGAATCCATTACTAAACATATTCCCATGTTTGTGCCAAGGTGAATTAGGAAAGTCTTGCAATATTTTATGTATAAAGTATCTCCTCCCACGTGATACTTTTTCATTATCCCCTTGGGAAATGCTGATTCTGGTTATGGTCTGGTGGCAATAAGGGGTGATGAGGTGTGTCTGGAGGAAAATTGGCATCCCCTTGCAAGGTCATTGCCTCCGGTGTGTTATTACAGAGTCTTCAGGCAAGGGAAGGCTAGTCTCCTCAGACAAGGGAAAGGCTGCTCCCTGGCAAGGGGGAGACTCACGGGAATGTAGAGACTCAAGGTTCTCAGATCGTTGGAATCTATTCAGATGTTCCCATTCCAAGTCTCAAGGTCTCCTTCACCATCAATACCCATCACATAAGAGACTTGGTCAGATGTAAGATCAACTTATGTTGTAATTTTACAACCTGCACAATTACATTTAGTGTCTAAGTTTTAGCTCTGTCCATCCTGTGGCTTCATAGAGGTTCCTTTCTGTAAGTGCCCCAGTACAGTCAGAAGCAGCTCACTTGATGAGGATGAGTCCTTGTAGTCATCATTATAAACATCATGGTCAAATACGGCAGCCCCTCGGTCACCCAAAGTGTTGCCTTCAATAGGACTTCACCCTAAGCAAAGGTTGAGAAGTAATCATAATGCCACTACATGACACGGATTACCAGCATTTCCATTCTTCAGTGGCCATCATTCTGTTCAAGCTCAAAATAGTCAGCAAACCAATCCCCAAACCCTACTTTGGAGAGTCTATTTCCTGGGACCTTTTCTGTTACCAAGATTATATAGTAAGAGTCCTATCCAGACAACAGAAGCCATTCTAGATATTTCAGACAAAGATAATTTAAGACTGGAAGTTATACAAGTATGGGAAGGTGTGGAAGAGCACAGATGAGGATGGGGGCTGGAGGAACAAAAAGAAAGAAGGGAATGAGACCCAGGATCACAAGCTGCTAATGGCCCTTGAAACTGGAGCCCACGAGCACGTACCTCCTGCTGCACTTTTGGAGACACAGCCAGTCCTGGATCCGCTGAAGAGGTACCACTTTGATCAGAGCTGGAACCACCAGAAAGATTCTGCATCTGCCTGAGCTGCTATAGTCCACAGTCATGCCGGCCTGCTGCTATCCGGCAACCACCAGCAAGGGGGAGAGGTAGAGCGGGAAGTTTCCCTCTTCCTCTGGTTCTCTGAGTCCCATTTTCCGTATCCTGCAGGAAGCCAGCTGGTGAGAGATCCTGGGCCATGTAGTTTGCAGCCTCTCAGCCCCATCAGAACAGAGCAGAATATAAAAAGGCAGTTTGGGGGCTTAAAAACAATAGGTAAATAACTGATACAGAAAACAAAATCAGTTGCCTTGGTTATGAGGGCGCTGCTTCCTTTCAAGGGCCAAGAAAAACTCCTCAGCCATAGATGGGTAGGTTAAAGAAAAATGGCAGCTTCTCCTGCCTGTCAATTGCTATAGTCTACCGATGAAGCAGTTTCCCCATTACAAATCCCTTAAATATTTACTACCACTATGTTGTAAGCTGAGCTCATGCTATTATACTTTAATCTTGTGATTTAAGTGGAAAGTATAAATCAGAATAGATTAAAAATCAGATACACTTAAAAAAAAAGATTTATTTATTTATTTTGGATAGAGAGCACAAGGGCGAGGGGCAGAGGGTGAGAGAGAATCCCAAGCCGACTCCCTGCTGAGTGTGGACCCAACTTGGGGCTTGATCTCATGCCTTGAGATCACGAGCTGAGCCGAAATCAAGAGTCAGATGCTTAACCGACTGAGCTACCCCGGCGCCCCATCAGATACACATTTTTATATTTACTGTAATTCTATCGTATTTCCCATATCGTCATCATTTTCACTAATAATGCTGTTTTATTAGAGATCTAAGGCATCTGAAATGAACTCTGCTATCATCTCCCTGGAGGTCAGTACACTTCTTCATTCTCTCTTCCTGTTGCAAAAAAGAAGGTACCCTCTCCTCCTACCCCTCGCGAATCCTTTCCAATGACAACCATTTTAGTGTGTTCTCAATCTCATTCCTCCCTGCTTTATCTGGAAGTTTATTTCTTTAGGTACTTTTTCTTTCCAAAATATTCAAATTCCGCTTCAGTGTTGACCACACCTCCCCTTACTATCACCATCTCCCTTATTCTTTCCCTTCACAGCAAAATTCCCTGAAAAGAGTTGTGGGTACTTGTTCCTCTCATCCCATTCTCCCTGAAGCCCACCCTAACACAGACACGCACACGCACACAGATAACAGGGGCACACATGCACCACCCCACGCACACACACAGAGACACAGACACACCACACACATGCACACAGACACACACGCATGTGCGCGCACACACACACATGGACACACACACCACTGATACATTCAGTGGTTGACTCTTAGTCCCTGTCTTACCAAAGCAAACACAGCTGATCGCCTCTTCTCCTTGAAACACTTTCTTCACTTCCAGGATGTCTTCCTGGCTTTTTGGTTTTCCTCGGGTATCTGTTAGACGGCCAGGGGCTCACCTCTGTTCCACATGGCCTGCCTCCTTTGGTAGTCACATCTAGTCTCTTGACTTGAAATACCACCCAAATGCTGATTCCCAGTCTCCCATCCCCAGCCTGGATCCATTTCCTCAACTCTACTCATATATCCAACTGCCCACCCTTTATCTCTTGTTGGATGGATAACAGGACACATGAACCTTGTCCAAACTTGAGCTGCAGAGACCAGTCCCCACAGGTTCCTCCTAGTCTTTCCCATTTCAGCAGACAAGACCTCTGCTCAGCCAGTACTCACGCTGTAGACCCTGGGGTCACCCTTGTTTGTTCTCTGGCTCTCCCTGCCATATGTGTGTTACCTGGTCGTGGTCCTGCGTGTGTGTCCACTCGAGTGTGAATTGCCTTTTCCCTCTTATCTCTCGGCGTTTTTTCATTAAGCTCTTAAACTTATTCTTACTCCTGTCTTGGAATTATAGCCTCCTTTTCAGGGCTGGAGTATCTGGCACTGGGAGTTCAGCTGCCAGTGGGTATTTCACTTTAGGGAATAGTCCTGTGACTGCCCTTTGACACGGTCTGCTGCTGGTCATTCCCCTAGGCCTCAGCCTTCTCCTTCAGAGCTCCTCTTTTCCTCCTTCTGCTTGTCAAAGGCAGTGCTCAGGTCCCTCCAGTCAGGAGACAATTTCCCACTTGGCTTTCACTATTAAACATCCTCCCACTCCCTATCGACTCTCAGGAGCCTGTTTAAATTTGCACACAGTAAAAAAAAAAAAAAAAAAATTTGCACACAGTGACTACTCTTTGTAACACTTAACAATACTGATGCTCACTTAGAACGTCTATAAGTTGCCTGGAAAGCGAATTCTTACTGAAACTTAAACTAAAAAAAAAAAAAAAAGCTCCGGGGCACCTGGGTGGTTCAGATGGTTAAGTGTCTGCCTTCAACTCAGGTCATGATCCCACGGTCCTGGGATCGAGTCCCACATCAGGCTCCCTGCTCCACGGGGAACCTGCTTCTCCCTCCACTTCTCTCTCTCTCTCATGAATAAATAAATAAAAGCTTTTAAAAAAAAGTTCCATTTTTCCACCAAGGAATTAACTTTTCACTAAAACTTTTAAGAATAGAGTTAGCATGTTTATAACACTTTCACATCTGAAGAAGAATGGGCAATGTCTTGGACATCAATTAATCATTTCTCTATGAAACCAACCTTGATTCCTTTCAAAGTTAGGAGATTTTAAAGAAAAGTTGCACTAGGGGCGCCTGGGTGACTCAGTCATTAAGTGTCTGCCTTCCGCTCAGGTCATGATCCCAGGGTCCTGGGGTCGAGTCCCGCGTCGGGCTCCCCGCTCAGCGGGAAGCCTGCTTCTCCCTCTCCCACTCCCCCTGCTTGTGTTCCTGCTCTCGCTGTCTCTCTCTGTCAAATAAATAAATAAAATCTTTAAAAAAAAAAAAAGAAAAGTTGCACTAATAATTAGATGAAAGTTATCAAAGAATTCAGAATCTTTAGAAATAACTTCTAAATTGGGATTCTCTGGTTACAAACAAAAGGAAAGCCAACTCATATTGGCTTAAGAAGAATGACATCTATTGGGTCAGGTAACTGAAAAGTCCAAGGATAGATATAGCCAAAGGCATGGCTGGGACTAGGGCTGGGGTTGGCAAAAGGCGACCTGTGGCTATTTTTGTAAATAAAGCTTTATTGGAACACTGCCATACGCATTGCTTCTCCTATTGTCTGTGGCTGCTTTCGTGCTACAGTGGCAGAATTGAGTAATATAGTGGTGAAGCTGAGGAGTTGTGAGAGGGACCTCTGGCCCACTATGATGTGTGGGTTTTTCCTACAAATGAAGCAATTCTTCAACACTAATTTAACTCAGTTCTGACACTGTCTACGTGGAGATGGCGTCAGATTCACAGGTTAAGGGCTCAGTCTCACAAGCCTGCCTCCACTTAGGTGCCCATCGCTAGTCTAGGTTGTCACCACCTGTGCTTCTGACCTACGCCATAATCAGAGGACCCCATCCTTGGGTTCGATTAGTTTGCTAGAGTGGCTCACAGAACTAAGGAAACCCGTTTACTCAGTAGATGACCAGTTCATTACAAAAGATATTACAGATGAACAGCCAGATGAAGAGGTACATAGGGCCAGGTCCCAAATGCAGGAACATCTGTCCCATGGAGTTTGGAGCCAGCAGGTGGATGCGTTCTGGTTCACCAACCTAGAAGCTCTCAGAACCCTGTCCTTTTGGGGGTTTATGGAGGCTTCATCACATAGGTGTGATCGATTAAATCATTGGCTGTTGGTGACTGATTCAACCTCCAGCTCATCTCCTTTCTCCAGAGGTCATAGGGAGGGACTGAAAGTTCCAACCCTCTAGTCTAATAAATCTTATCTAATGGTTGGTTTCCCTGGCACACCCCGCCCCCACCCCTGCATCTTAGGGGACTTCTAAGAGTTACCTCACTAACATAAACTCAGCTGTGGTTGAATGGAACTTATGGTAAATAGCCAGACACCTATAGTAACTTTATGGCTCTGAAATGACTTCAGAAACTGAGGATGAAAGATCAAATATTAAAACAAAAGATGCTCTTATTGCTTAGGAAATTACAAGGGTTAGGGGAGCTCTGGACCAGGAACCATAGGCAAAGTCCAAAATATATATTTATTATAGATAATAATCTCATACCTACAAGCCCTAAAATATTTTCTGTCTGGCCTTTTACAGGAAAAAAAAAATGACCAACCTAGGGAACAAAATGATGTCAATAGGATCTGGTCTTCCTCTGTTTCTCCTCTCTGCTTTCCTCAGGGTTGGTCCTTTCTCATGTAGGCTCTGTCATGGTGGTAGTGCATCCATAATAGATAGGTCCAGGCTTACATCCTCAAAGGAGTCCTCTTCTTTTCCAGTTGCTCCAATAAAAGTGCTAGGTTCACTTTAATTGAACCTCCTTTGCTTGCCTTGTTTGGTGTGTCCATCCCCAAGCCAGTAACTGGCCATGGGAATGCAGTGCTCTGATTTGTCAAGTCTGGTCACAGCTTGGCGTCTGGAGTGATGAGTTGAATCAGTATCTCCCAAACCTAAGAACTGAAAGAGGTGATGGGGTGATCCTCTTAAGAAAAATTGGGAAGTAATTATCAGAAAAAGGTATTGAATGAGAAGAGGGAGGAGTCAGAATAATGAGTAAACAAAAGGGAAATTGTGTAACAGGCTGATAAACAAAAACCTCCCCTGAAAGAATTAAAATAACAGCTTTTAAATAGCTACAGCTTCTTCTGTTAATACAGAAATAAATACTTTTCCCTTTCACCAGTTCATTTTAAATCGAGATTTTAGGTCAACTATATGAAATTACTATTTCTATTGGTCAAAACAGTTGAATATTGGCAATTTCATGCAGTTTGTATTAGTTTCCTAGGGCTGCTACAACAAAGTACCTTAAACTGGGTTGCTTAAAACAACTGGAATTTATTCCCTCAGTTCTGGAGGCCAGAAGTCAAAGTGTTGGTAGGGCCATGTTCCCTTTGAAGGCTCTAGAGGAGAATCCTTCCAGCTTCTGGGGGCTCCACGTGTTTCTTGACTAGTAGTTGCATGACTCCAGTCTCCAGCTGTTATTTCACAAGGTTTTTGTAATTCTGTGTACTCTCCTCTTCTAATAAGGACACCAGTCATTGGCTACAGGGCCCACCCTAGTCCAGTGACCTCATCTTAACTGATTATTTCTGCAAAGACCCTGTTTCCAAAAAGGTTACATTCTGAGGTTGCAGGTAACATGAATTTTGAGGGGACAGTATTCAATCCACTATTAGTTCAACCTCACATTATTAGAGAAGTGAAAAAGCAGAACATTTGTCTTTTCAGTCTCTAGAAAAACAAAGATAAAGACTGGATTAGAGTATTCTAGGAATGCAAAGATCATTCAGCACCCCAAAAAATGTAAGTACCATTTTAACGGATTGTTGTGGGTTGAATTGTGTTCCCCCCAAAAGATATGTTGAAGTACTAACCTGCAGTACCTTACTTGGAAATAGGTTGTTGCAGATGTAGTTAGTGAAGAGGAGGTCATATTGGAGTAGGGTGGGCCCTTGATCCAAAATGACCAGTGTCCTGGGGTGCCTGGCTGGCTCAGTTGGTAGAGCATGTGACTCTTGATCTCGGGGTAATGAATTCAAGCAACACGTTAGGCCTAGAGCTTCCTTTAAAGAAAAAGAAAATGGCTGTACAAAATGACTAGTGTCCTTATAAGAAGACATTGTGAAGATACAAGGAGAGAGCTCCTTGTGAAGACACAGACACACAGGGAGAAGGCAGCCATGTGAAGATGGAGACAAAGATTGGGGTTTTGCTGCCACAAACCAAAGAACGTCTGGGGACACTAGACGCTAGGAAGAAGCAAAGAAGGATTCCTCTCTCACAGGTTTCAGGGGGAGCATGGCCCTGCTGACAGCCTGATTTCAGACATCTGTCATCCAGACTGTGAGACAATAAATTTCTGTGGTGTTAAGTCACCCAATTTATGGTACTTTAGTCCAGTAGTCCCAGGAAATGAATATGTAGGTTAAGAGGAAAAAAAACCATGAATACCAAATAAGCATTTAATAAAATTTAGCACTCATTTATGATAAGCATTTTTAGAAAATTGGAAACAAAAGGATACCCATCAAACAAACCTGTGCTAGAGGTTGTTCTTAATGGTGAAATTTCAGGAGCATTTCCATTCAGCCAATAAGCAATAGAGATAAATCTAACAAAAATATGCAAGATCTTAATAAAGAAAATAAGGGGGTGCCTGGGTGGCTCAGTTGGTTAAGCGACTGCCTTCGGCTCAGGTCATGATCCTGGAGTCCCGGGATCGAGTCCCACATCAGGCTCCCTGCTCAGCAGGGAGTCTGCTTCTCCCTCTGACCCTCTGCCCTCTCATGCTCTCTCTCTCTCTCATTCTCTCTCTCTCAAATAAATAAATAAATAAATCTTTAAAAAAAAATAAGGAAACATTACTTAGAGGAAACATTACTTAGAAGGCCTAAATAAGTGGAGAACTATACTATGTTCATGGATGGTAAGACCCAATATCATAAAAGATGTGAGTTTTCCCATAAATTAATCTATAAAATCAATTCTAAAATAAATGCCTATAGGTTATATTTTTTTCTCTTTTTAGTGAAACTTGATAAGCTTATCCTAATATTTATATGGAAGAAGCAAGAGACAATCAGAATTTTTTTTTAATGTTATTTGAACAACTAGGTGGGGGAATTCATTTTAAAGTTTGGTAACTAAGGGGCACCTGGGTGGCTCAGTCAGTTAAGTGTCTGCCTTTGGCTCAGATCATGATCCCGGGGTCCTGGGATCGAGCCCTGCATTGGGCTCCCTGCTCAGCGGGAAGCCTGCTTCTCCCTCTCCCACTACCCCTGCTTGTTTCTGCTCTTGCTAACTCTCTCTCTCTGTCAAATAAATAAGTAAAATCTTAAAAAAGTAAATAAATAAATAAAATTTGGTAACTAATACTGTGAAGTATTGATGCAGAGATAGACAAATAGACCAACTGAACTGAACAGAGAGCTCAGAAATAGATTCATGAATTTATGTAAACTAGATGTATTACAGAGATAGTATTACTGATTAGTGGGGAAAGGATAGACTGTTCAGTAATAGTGCCAGAAAAATTGGGTATCTGCATGAAAAAAATTAGAATACCATATGCAAAAAAATAGTGGGTTAAAACACTAAAAGTGAGAAACAGAACTTTAAAAAATATCTTTATGTCCTTGAGACGGGAATTTCTTAAACAAGTTATGGAAAACATTAATAGATTGATAAATTGGACTATATTAAAACTAAAAGCTTCTTTTTAATGAGAACCACCCTAAATGAAGTTAAAAAATCAAACCACAGACCGAGAGAAGTATGTACCTGATGAAGGATAGTATGTTGGACATTTAAAGGATACCTATAAATAATAAATAAATAAGAAAAAGACAAACAATCCAACTTAAAATAAGAAAGGATACTGTGTAGATAGCATAATTGTCCCCATTAATCACCCCCTGCCAATATTCACACCCTTTGTTGTGTGACTTCACAGTTCTTCTCACTAACAGGGCAGGTGTTTCTTCTTCCTTTGACTTTACTTTTGGCCATGTGATTTGCTTGAGACTATTACAGTAGGGTTGATGTGACAGTGTGCCAGTTGCAAACCTAAGCCTTAAGGGGTTTCATATATTTCCACTTGGTCTTTTGTACTTTTGGCATTGTCATGAGAAGAAATTGGCCAAGCCAGCCAACTGGTCCCAGGAGGAAGATAGGAGACCATGTAATAACACAACCACCCCAGAATCTACTGACTCCTAGGTAGGTGAGTGGGCCCAGGCAAGATCAGCAGAGCTGTCCTAACAAGCCCTGCCTAAATCAGCCAACACACAGGTTTGTGAGCTAAATAAATACTTATTGTATAACATTATTTTTTGTAGTTAATTGTTATACAGTGTTAGTTAACAACATTGTAATGAGCAAGTAATTCACTGAATCATAGTCAATAAACATTAATTGTTCAGTCCACACAAATAAAAGCAATGACATACCATTGCATTTTTGTAAGATTGGCAAAATTAAAAAGTCTGATAATATTAAGTACTGACAAAAATGAGAAGTAGTAATTGATATATACTGTTAATGGGAGTTACACTTAAATACCAGGTGACATGGTTCTGGCTATTGAGTTGCAAGAGTAAGTTCCCTAGGTGAGGCATCCAGGAAAGCTTTTTTTCCCTCTGATAAAAAAAAGAAGACAGGCTGGGTTGGTAATTGTCTTTTGTCTTTTCCTCTTCTTCCTGCCAGGAATGTGGACATCAGGCTGGAGATGGGGCAACCATCTTGCAACATGAGGTGTTTTAATTTCATTAATTATATTTTTCATATATTAAATCCATTTGGCTCCTCCTCAAACCTACCTCCTCTTCCCCCCGCCCCCACCCCGGTTCCTTTTCTTATGGATACTAATAAAGCAAAAGGAGAATGGCTAACATTTATGAAGTCCTTATTACATGTAGGTTTGAGTGCTATGTGTACATCAGCTCATTCGATCCTCACAATAATCCTTTGAAATAAGAGCTATTTTTTGTTGCATTTTACAGATAAGGAAATGGATACAGAGGTTAAATAAATTGCCCAGGGTCACGCAGCTTTTAAGTGGTAGAGCCAGAATTCCAAATCCAGCTACCTGGCTCTAGCGTCTATGCTCAAAACTATATGCTACCCTTGGGGCACCTGGGTGGCTCAGTCGTTAAGCATCTACCTTCGGCTCAGGTCATGATCTCATGCTCCTGGGATCCAGCCCCACATCGGGCTCCCTGCTCAGCAGGGAACCTGCTTCTCCCTCTCCCTCTGCTCCTCCCCACCACTTGTGCTCACTCTCTCTCTCAAATAAATAAAAGTAAAATATTAAAAAAAAACTATATGCTACTCTTTATATATTTTATCTCTTTGCCCATCTTAAGCATACTTATTTTTTTTAAAGATTTTATTTATTTATTTGTCAGAGAGAGAGAGAGCGCACGCACAAGCAGAGGGAGTGGCAGGCAGAGGGAGAAGCAGGCTCCCTGAGCAAGGAGCCCAATGGGGCTCAATCCCAGGACCCTGGGATCATGACCTGAGCCAAAGTCAGACGCTTAACTGACTGAGCCACCCAGGCGTCCCTTAAACATACTTATTTTAGAGTCTGTTAGATTTTTATTCTATTTTCTAAAATTGTTGGTGTTCTGATTCTCCTGTTTGTTCTCCTGCTGATTCTTCTTTATAAAGAACGATTTCCTTGTATGTTTTAACGTGTTTGATGCACATTCAGCAACACTGATTGAGCATGTATCGTGTGTTCAAGGAGCTGGGGATACATAAGTAAAGCAGGCAAAGTCTCTGCTCTCTTACCTTAAATTCTAATAGGAGAAAACAGACAGCAAACAAATAAGGGGATAGAGAATGGGAAGGGGTGATTATATAGGATGGCAAAGGAAAGCTATCTGATAAGGTGACATTCCAACAGAGACCTGAAAATATGAGAATGTGAGCTATGTGTATATCTGGGAGAATTCCCAAGTAGAAGGAAGAGCAAGGACAAAGGCTGCATGGCAGGAATAGGCCTTGAATGTTCAGAAATGAGCAGAGGTCTTTGTAGCTGGAATGCAGTGCAGGAGGGTGGAGCAGAGAGATACCTGGACAGGGCGGATGAACATCAGGTAGGGCCTTTGAGGGCGTGAGAACTTTGAGCTTGGATGGGCAGCCTCTGGAGGCTTTTTTATGGGTCATAAATTCAAAGATGGTATTTAAAACTATGAGACTAGATGGGCTCACCTAGGGAATGGTGTTAAGTAGAGAAGAGGTCTGAGCCCTGAGGCTTGGGGCATTCCAGCGGTAGGGGAGGAAAATTTTTCCTTGACCTTCTTCCTGGCTGGGTCTGGAAATTAAACTGACAAAGACAAATTAACATGAGAAATGCATACCAATTTACCCAATAGTTTTACATGACATGGACCCCTTTATAAGGAAATGAAGACCCGGAGAATCATTAGACCTGAGCATATTTTTATGCTAGGTTCCATGAAGAGTGGACAGTCGTGGAGGAATATGGTAGATTAAGGAGTATGAGATGAATTTAGTAACTGGAGAAGCCCGGCAAAGCCTGTTTGTGCAGATTCTTTTTAGCGTCCCTTTGTCTTCTGAGATAAGGATGCTCTTTCTCTGGGTATAAGGAGGGCACCTCTCATCTGAGGGTTATTTTAGTTGCAGGGGAGAAGGGAGGAGGGATCAGAGTGCTCTTTCTGCTTCTGCTGTTTTCTCAAACTCCTTCAAAATATTCAGTACGCCAAGGTGCCATATTTTGGGGTAGCATGTCCTGAATCCCCTAGCACTTGGAGGCTAGGAAAATGAAGAACCAGCAAAGGAGACTGAGAAGGAGTGGCCAGCCTATGGGAGAAGAACACGGAGCAGTGGTGTCCTGGCATCAAGTAAAGAAAGTGTTTTAGGATGAAGAGAATCACCTCCTGCCTCAGTAAAATGAGGACAAAGAAATGACCATTGGATTTGACATGCAAGTTACTAATGATGTTTTTAAAAAATGATTGGGGGCACCTGGGTGGCTCAGTCGTTAAGCGTCTGCCGTCAGCCCAGGTTATGATCCCGGGGTCCTGGGATCGAGCCCCGCATCAGGCTCCCTGCTCGACGGGAAGCCTGCTTCACCCTCTCCCACTCCCCCTGCTTGTGTTCCCTCTCTCCCTATGTCTCTATCTGTCAAGTAAATAAAATCTTTAAAAAAATGATTATAATGGATGGGGATGAAACCTGGTCGAAAGAGAACGGGAGAAGTGAAGACAGCAAATGAAAAGAGCAAACCAAAAGACGATTTCTGGGCACCAGTTGGTTTAGCGTCCAACTCTTGATTTTGGCTCAGGGTCGTGGGATCAAGCCCTACGTCAGGCTCCGCGCTCAGCATGGAGTAGGCCTGAGGTTCTCTCTCTCTCCCTCTCCCTCTGCCCCTCCCTCCTCAAATAAAGAAATCAATAAAATATTAAAAAAAAAAAACCTTTCAATGAGTTTTGTGTGAAGGAAGCAGAGAAATGAGTAGTAACCTGGGGCACCTGCTGGCTCAGTCGGTGGAGCATGTGACTTTTGATCACAGGGTCTTTGAGTTCGAGCCCCACATGTGGTGTAGAGTTTACTTAGAATAAAATAAAAAATATATATATATAAAAGAAATGAGTTGTAGCCAGAGATGGATGGGAAAGCAAGGGAGGTTTTGTTTGCTTGTTTGTAAGATAGGAGATAATAGACATCATGATGGTACAATATTAGAAATGATGCACTTTGGGGTGCCTGGGTGGCTCAGTCGGTTAAGCGTCTGCCTTCGGCTCAGGTCATGATCCCAGGGTCCTGGGATCGAGCCCCACATCGGGCTCCCTGCTCAGCGGAGAGCCTGCTTCTCCCTCTCCCTCTGCCTGCCTCTCTGCCTACCTGTACTCTATCTCTCTGTCAAATAAATAAATAAAATCTTAAAAAAAAAAAAGAAATGATGCACTTTATATAAAGAGGGGAATGATTTTGAGTTCAGCGTGAGATTATTTCCCACCTGGCTTGGGTCCTGAGAACACCCCTCCTAAGCAGTTTCGCATTTGTTTCTGCCGCGTGCCCCATGGGCCCCACCAGCCCCACCAGCCCAGGACTAATTTCCTTGTTAAATTTTCACCTTGAGGTTTCTCACACCAAACAGGTAAAATAAATTTGGATTCCAGAACCTCAAAAAGCACAACCTTGGGTTTGATATCTCACCTAGGTACTTTTTTTTCTTTCCCCAACGAAAGCCCCGCAAAGACAAACTTTGTTTTTTCCCGGGATTTATGGGCAAAGTTTACTAGTCTTTCTTCATTAAGGTTGTCCTTAGAGGCTTCCAGCTTGTTACAGATAAAAACCTGAAGCCATATTACCGCTCCGCCTCTGCTCCTTCTCCACTGCCGGCATCTAGGGATTTCTCATTTTCTTGCAAGCCCAGCCATACATTTAAAACGTTTGGTTATATTTTAAGGGGGAAAAGAAAAAAAGGAGAGAGGGAGACAAGCCATAAGAGACTTTTAACGATAGAGAACAAACAGGGTTGCCGGAGGGAGGTGGGTGAGGGATGTCTAGATGGGTGATGGGTATCAAGGAGGGCACATAGCAGAAGACCTGATTCATAGAAGATGCTCAGTAAAGGTTGGTGACTGAACAAATAATTGTCCAAAAATCACATAATAGTATAGTACTAAGTGATTCTCTGTGTCTTGGAGTCTTATATTCTCTGAGAAGAAAGTGGTGTCAGTGGAAATAAGGGCGGTTTCTGATGGTTATTTCGGTTGACTCTGCTTGGAAAAGGCGTGTCACTTCGGTTTGGTAACCACGTGTCTTTTCCTCTCCAGAATGGAGATCTCCTCTCATCAGTCCCACCTCCTGCAGCAACTGAATGAGCAGCGCAGGCAAGATGTCTTTTGTGATTGCAGCATTCTGGTTGAGGGGAAGGTCTTCAAAGCGCATCGAAATGTATTATTTGCTAGCAGCGGCTACTTCAAAATGCTCCTTTCTCAGAATTCAAAGGAGACAAGTCAGCCAACCACAGCTACTTTTCAGGCCTTCTCCCCTGACACTTTTACGGTTATCCTGGACTTCGTCTATTCCGGCAAACTCTCTCTCACTGGTCAGAACGTCATAGAAGTGATGTCAGCCGCTAGCTTCCTTCAGATGACTGATGTCATTAGCGTATGTAAGACCTTTATTAAATCTTCGCTAGACATTAGTGAGAAAGAAAAAGATCGCTATTTCAGTCTCTCCGATAAAGACGCCAATTCTAACGGTATAGAACGTTCCTCCTTTTATAGCAGTGGCTGGCAAGAAGAAAGCAGTTCTCCGCATTCTCACCTAAGCTCAGATCAAGGAACAGGTGTAATAAGTGGAAAATCTTGGAGTAAGTATAATTACCATCCAGCCTCCCAAAGGAATACTCAACAGCCTTTGACCAAGCATGAACAAAGGAAAGATTCCATTAAAAAGTCCAAACATTTGAGGTTGTCACAGCCTTCTGAAGTTGCTCCTTACAAGTCAAGCAAACGAGAAGCACGAACATCAGATTCTTCCAGCCACATTTCCCAATCTGAAGAACAAGCACAAATTGATGCTGACATGGACTCTACTCCTGTTAGCTATCCGTATGGTCCAGGATCTGATGTCACATCCAGAAGCTTTCCAGGTATCCAAAAAAAAAAAAAAAAATCAGTCCCCTTATTGAGGTTCTAAGGCTCCTATACAAATCAATCCTATTTCAACATGCCCTTACTTTGAAGTGTTATGGGCAGTTGAACCAAGTGATTTTTTTTTAAGTCATACCCCTCTAATGAAATTTATTTCATAAAACATAAATTTAAATTTCTAATTAAAAATAATATTGGATAGGGGCACCTGGCTGGCTCAGTTGGTAGAGCACGCAACTCTTGAATATAGGGTCATGAGTTCAAGCTCCACATTGGGCATGGAGTCTACTTAAAAAAAAAAAAAGGATAAACTGAATAACGTCAAAACAATAGAGTTCTGGGATGCCTGGGTGGCTCAGTCGGTTAAGCATCTGCCTTCGGCTCAGGTCATAATTCCAGGGTCCTGGGATCAAGCCCCACATCAGGCTCCTTGCTCAGCAAGGTGCCTGCTTCTCCCTCTGCCTGCCTCTCTCTCTCTCTCTCTCTCTCTCTCTGATAAATAAATAAAATCTTAAAAAACAAAACAAAAAAACAATAGAGTTCTGAGTTTCAAAGCCCAAGATTTTCCCAACCTGTGTCAGCAGATGATTAGATTACTGTTAAGCCTTTATAGCTCTTTTCTAAATGGTTCAATCCCTAAGATGTGTATTTTTACTTTAAATTGTATATTTTTTTCTGAGTATTCACTCAGGAGGAGTATTATTTTTTTTAGGAGGAGTATTTTTATACAGAAAAGTTAAACAGAACAACGATGCATATTTACAAAAGTTCACAGACCCAAGACTTAAAGAAATTGGACTACATCTGATTTTACTGAGATATAAAGACATAATTTAAAAACCACACACAACCCATAACATTGACACTGTAATCCTGTGTGTGCAACAACAGCTGGAGACATCTCATTTTTATGATAGTAGTAAAATGCAGAAAGATTATTTAGATTGTTGGTTTCAGTAATCCACCCCTCACCACCATAAGACTGTAGTAGAGAACAGGAATTAGAATTGCATGTCATACAGGAGTGCCTGGGTGGCTCAGTCCGTTAAGCAGCCAACTCAGTTTTGGCTCAGGTAGTGGGATCCACAGTTGTGGGATCGGGCCCTACGTCAACTCCGAGCTCTGTATGGAGGCTGCTTGAGATTCTCTCTCCCTCTGCCCCTCCCCCTGCTCACGCTCTCTCTCTCTCTTTCCAAGTAAATAAATTTTTAAAAATCTTAAAAAAAAAAAGAAATGCATGTCATATAGTTCTGCCCCAATTAATCAGGTAGCAAACTTGCATAATAGTTTACATGTGAATTTAAAGGAAAATTGTAAGATGAAACTCTTACAGATTATAAGATTCAGATTATATATTTAAAATTGTTTTTATTTTAGGAAAATTTCAAACATACACAAAAGGAAAGAGAATAGTATAATTCACCTCCATGTACCCCTTACCCAGTTTGGACAACTTCCTACTCACTTCCAATATTGTTTCATCTGTATCGTTAACTCCTCACCCCTCCCTTTATTATTTTTAAGCAAATAGCAGACATCATAATTTTTCATCTGTAAATATTTCAGAATGTGTCCCTAAAATGTAGTCTTAAAAAGGGGGGGAGGCTCAGCCAGTTAAGCATCCGACTCTTGTTTTCAGCCCAGGTCATGATCTCAGGGTTGTGAGATTGAACCCCACCTCCGACTCCATGCTAGGCATGGAGCCTGCTTAAGATTCTCTCCCTCTGTCTCCCTCTGCCCCTCCACACCCCTAAGAAAATACCAAAACAAAACCAGGACATGCGACTCTTGATCTCAGGGTTGTGAGTTCAAGCCCAATGTTGGGCATGTAGCCTACTTAAAAAAATAAAAATAAAGTTGTCTTTAAAAAAAAAACGAAACCACTACAATACCATAATTGTACCTAAACAAAATTAACAGTTCCTTTTTTTTGTTTTTTAAAGTTTTCATTTATTTATTTATTTGACAGAGAGAGAGAGAGAGAGTGAAGAGAGGGAACACAGGCAGGGGGAGTGGTAGAGGGAGAAGCAGGCTTCCCACTGAGCAGGGAGCCCAATGTGGGGCTTGATCCCAGGATCCTGGGATCATGACATGAGCTGAAGGGAGATGCTTAATGACTGAGCCAGCCAGGCACCCCGTCACATAAATTTTTAAAAATAATTTGGTTGTAGATAACATACTTTAAAATAAGAAGCAACTAGCTGGATCTTTACTAACTGCATTTTCCTGTAGTACTAACCTGAAAATACATGAAATTGTATCCTATTACAGAGCTTACTGAAAGTCCTGCTGAGCTCTGACCACTGACCAAGACATACAGAAACAACAGAGCAAAAATGAGAAATCTTTGTTGCATTTTAAAACTGGAAAAGAGTGATCTTTTCTCTCTTTGGGCTCTGTACTTTGATAATCTAGGTTATGCAAACCTAACTTCAATAATGAACAGCTGAGTTTAATGGCTATTTAATTGATGACGTTTGCCTCCAGTCATAACTAACATTTTGAGTACATGCGTTTTATTTTATATTTTATATTTTATTTTTTTTAAAGATTTTTTGTTTATTTATTTGACAGAGAGATAGAAGCACTAGTAGGCAGAGAGGCAGGCAGAGGGAGAAGCAGGCTCCCTGCTGAGCAGGGAGCCAGATGCAGGACTTGATCCCAGGACTCTGGGATCAGGACCTGAGGAGAAGGCAGACGCCTAACCGATTGAGCCACCCAGGCGCCCCGTATTTTATTTTTTAAAGTTTATATATTTTTTTACTAATCTCTACACCCAACGTATGGCTCAAATCTACAACCCAGAGATCAAGAGTCACGTGCTCTAATGACTGAGCCAGCCAGGCTCCCCTTGAATACATGAGTTTTAAAATAAGAAATTAAATGTCCTTGACATTTTTTTACCTTTAAAAGTATTATGAGTGTACGAAAAGTAGAGGGAAGGGGATAAAAATATGTAAATAAGGGGTGCCTGCGTGGCTTAGTTGTTAAGCGTCTGCCTTCAGCTCAGGTCATGATCCCAGGGTCCTGGGTTCCAGCCCTGTTTCGGGCTCCCTGCTCAGTGGGAAGCCTGCTTCTCCCTCTCCCACTCCCCCTGCTTGTGTTCCCTCTCTGGCTGTCTCTCTCTCTGTCAAATAAATAAATAAAATCTTTAAAAAAATATGTGAATAAAACACATTACTAAAAGCTGTAATATGAAATACTTTTGGGTTGTACCTCCAATTCTTTTGTTTTTGTCTTTTTTTTTTTTGTATCTCCAGTTTTAAAAATCCAGCACTACCTTTTTACATTTCAAATCCAGTGAGTCTACAACACTGAATGAGAAGATAAGTGCGAGAGTGTAAATTCACCCCAACTTTATAAATCTCCCAAGTGCCGCCGTTACAGTTCTGGACTCAGGATTGCATGGACAATTGAGTCTTAATAATATTTCTTCCTTCTCCTTTTCTCCTGCCTTTCTAAGATTGGACTCACCAACTCCTTTGGGATTCTTCATGTTATTAGAATTGTTGTGATGAACTTTCCAGTGATTTAATCAAACTGTCTCCTGACAGATGATCTGCCCCGGATGCGGTTCAAGTGCCCATACTGCACACACGTGGTGAAGCGAAAGGCGGACCTGAAGCGTCACCTTCGCTGCCACACGGGAGAAAGACCCTATCCCTGTCAAGCCTGTGGGAAGAGATTTAGCAGGCTGGACCACCTCAGTAGCCACTTCCGAACAGTACGTACATGATTTTTCATCATTTTCCTTCTTAGGAAATGTGTGGGTTTATCTGCTGTCAGATAATCTACTTTACCGAGGGAAATCTTTTCATACAACTCTGCTATATTAGAAATTTTTCCGACATGCTTTTACTTTGCACATAATGCATAATTTAATATAGATATATTTTTATTCACCCTTGAGACCTTTAAGTAGGAGATACTCTTTTGAATATCCATTTTATTTTTTAAATTGTTTTTTTATTTTTGGAATATGCATTTTAGTTCATTTAAAATCGAATACGTTTTTATATACTGGACTTTTCAAGAGCCAAAGACAAGGTAAACTAAAGATATCTGAATCTCCAGGTCAGAATCACCACTGCAGATGCTCTGCATCTACTAGTGGTTCTTGAATGCTTCTCTGGTAGGATCTCGGTCTGGTTTCTGCTGTCCGTCCTCTGGCCACTGTACCCCCTTTCTAGTCTCCTCAAGGAAGGGAGCAAGGTGGGCAGTAGAGCCACTTCCATCAGGGACGGGATCGTCAGCAGTCAGGAAGATCTCAGGGAATTTGCTATTCAGGGCTCTGGCGGGCGGCTGAGGTAGGGACGTTCGGATTACTCTGCTGTTCGTCTTGAGGCAAGAATGTTTTACAAAATCTGTGTTCTATTGCTTATACTTCTATTCCATTTATATCAGCCCCTTTTAAGTTTAAAGGGCAGTGGCTCACTGAAGGTGATTTCTTCATGCATTGCTCTATAGTTAGTTAGCAAATACATACTGAGCACCTATGTGCCCGCCCCTTTTCTCAGTGCTAGGTATCCTGCAGGTGTTCTCAGTGCCAGGAATCTCTGCTTTCATTAACCTTATGAAGCTAGGTTTTTGTATTTTTTTAATTAAAAAGAACCTTTTATTATTACAAAAGCAATGACTATGCATTATAAAAGGTAAAAATAAGAAAATAAAAATACTTTATTTTCACCACCCAGATACTACCATTCTTTTTTTTTTTAAGATTTTATTTATTTATTTGTCAGAAAGAGAGAGAAAGAGCACAAGCAGGGGGAGCGGCAGGCAGAGGGAGAAGCAGGCTCCCTGCTGAGCAAGGAGCCTGATGTGGGACTCAATCCCAGGACCCTGGGATCATGACCCGAGCGAAGGCAGACACTTAACCAACTGAGCCACCCAGGCGTTCTCAGATACTACCATTCTTAAGACTTTATCACACGCATATGTATGGGTTTTTTTTTTAACCAAATTAGATCATACTGTTTGTGCCTGCTATCATTAGTGAACAATCTCTACCTTTCCATCTCAATAAAATTTTATATAACATCCAGTTCAGTTTCAAATTTCCCTGTAATCCCGCAATACCTTTTATAGCTTGTTTGTCCAAACCAGTATCCAATGCAGGATCCTGTATTACATCTCCTTAAGTCTCTTAAATATGTTTTTAAGAGAGCATAGTCCTCCCTGCCCCCCTTTTCATTTCCATAACACTGACTTACTGAAGATATCAAGATAATTATTTTACAAAATAACCTACCTCTCGATTTCTCTGCTTGCTTTCACTGGTGTCATTTAGCTTGTTCCTCTGTCCCCCTGCATTTTCTATAAACTAGATGTTTTATCTAAAGGGTTAATGGAAGGGCGCCTGGGTGGCTCAGTCGGTTAAGTGTATGCCTTCAGCTCAGGTCATGATCTCAGGGTCCTGCTGGGATCAAGCCCTGCGTTAAGCCCCTCGATGGGCTCCCTGCTCAGTGGGGAGTCTGCTTCTCCCTCTCCTTTTGCCCATCCCCCTGCTCACACACACTCTCTTTCTCTCTCAAATAAATAAATAAAATCTTTAAAAATAAATAAATAAAGGCTTAATGGATTCGAGGTAAATACTTTCAGCTAGAATACATCAAGGATGAAATTATTTATCTCATAATGTTTCACATTAGGAGACACATAATATCTGTTGGACCTATCATTCATATTGTTAAGATTGGTCACTAAGTTAGGGTAATGATACTGTGATCCCGCCATTGTTCAGTTAAAGGTGCCACCTTGTGATTAGAAAGGAATCTGTGTGGAGCTATGTTGGCATTACGCTACTATCCATTTCCCCATCAACCATGCATTTAATGGTATTAATATCAGTTGATAAACTCTGTCCAGATGATTAATTTTACTTGGGTTGTAGAATGACTTACTAATTTTATCATTTCTTTCACATTATTAGCTAGAATTCTATAAAGTAAAACTTTCCTCCATCACCTGGGACTATTCAGTTACTTTGAAATACAGTTACTACAGGAGAAACAGGATAAATATTTAATTCTTTCCCTTTAATTATCAATTTTCAAAGTAAAGAGTTGATTTAATAGCAGTTTCAAATGGTAATATGAATTTTTTCTGGCTTTGTTTTTTTTTAAATAGCATATAGTCTCATAAATTTTCATTGGTTCATTGTGTTTGGATCTACAACAATTATTATTCTTTCTGATACTCAGATTTTCGGTTTTGTCCAGTGAGGACAACTTGAAGCTGGTTCTTGTGTCCCTTTGTCATAACTCCATTACATATTCAAGGTGGCTTCATTCTCTGGCCCTCAGATTTCCCTAGGCTCACCTTGTATTTCCCTGTCACAAACCTGGAACCAGCCACTTCTTAAAGGACATTTGGTTCCTTTTAATGGGGAGTAAAATTAGAAACCAAACTTTGGATACCTGGGGTGCTCCCTTTTACTAGGGGGTCATTCCTCTTCCATTATTTCAGTGGACAGAGCTAGAAGATACGTGTTTTTTGAATAATGAGTTTGTGATGATATTTTCAATTTTAACATTATAGTGTTTCACTTAATTTCTTTGACTTAGTAACTTAGAATCGAGGGGCTGGAGGATAAACACAAATCTGTGCCAGAACTTTCTAACAAAAACAATACCACATATGATACCCATAACATTACTATCTCGGCAGCAATACGGGTACACTAAAATTGTGTACTTTCAATATTTACTGATTAATATATCAACCACTCAGCAGAAAATAAGAACTACACTAAGTCGTAGTCCCATACATTTTCTTAGATATTTTACCAGACCGCATTAGTTTCCTTGATTGTTTTTTTTTTTTAATTTTTTTGCTGTTTGTGTTTGGTGGCCTACTTCCATATTGTTCTGATTTTATCTAAATGAATATGCCATAAATATTAATTCGACATTATAAAATTGTAATGGTTTTTAGAGTAGAACCCATAATCTGCTCTGACAGCTGTTAAAGTTGTTTATTAGTAACTATAATTATGTAATTATTTATCAGTTACAATTTTTTCCTAAAGCACTTCACACATACTAACTCATTTAGTCCTCACAACCTGAATTGTATTCTCATTAGTAAGATGGAAGCAGGTAGAGATAATTATAGGCTGATATATAGCAGAACCACCAGGGTCATTGTCAGGACCAATGTTCATTTTGACTGTCAGGCTTCCATTCTGTTTGGGTGGTGCCCATACCTTACAAGTTGTTAAATACTTTGCCTGTCACCCTGGAAGCAGGTTTATATTGTTTTCAATTACTTGTTTCAAAGTACATGGCTAGTAAATGACAAAACAGGGCTAGAACCCAGGCCTTCCTGTTCCTAATCTAGTCCTCTTTCTACAGGATCTTTCATTAATAGAAGTGGCAAATAATCCTTCTATCCAAAAGTATGTTTTGATAAATTTAAATTTGAGACAATATATTTTTCTCTAGCTGATAACAGTAAATTAACACATGAAATGAGGTTTCTCCCTTGCCAGAATTAAGGTATAAAAAGTCCTTAGAATAGTGATATATTTAGTGTTTGCAATGATTATTATTCTGGGAAGGTGTCCCTTGTTACCTCAGATATCAAAATACTGTTGGATTAAGGGATGTGTGAAATTATTAAGCATGTTTTATTAATCATAAAAACGGTATAGCCATCATTTAGAGAAAGGTGGTGTTTATTTGTGATGTCAATTTATCACCAAAACCTGTGATCTTTTTCTAATAATTAGATGTTTATTTAATATTAGCACTTGGCTTTGGACATCTTAAGTTTATGAACTGGTACCTAGATATCCAACTGTGCTGCTTTTGAAAAATCCTTTTTTATCACTATTTCAATCTCTATACAGATTCACCAGGCATGCAAACTAATCTGCAGAAAATGCAAACGCCACGTGACTGATCTAACAGGGCAAGTGGTCCAGGAAGGAACCAGGCGCTACAGACTCTGTAATGAGTGCCTCGCTGAAGTGGGCATAGACAGCCTCCCCATTGATTTGGAAGCTGAACAGCATCTTATGTCCCCATCAGATGGAGATAAGGATTCCAGATGGCACTTGAGTGAAGATGAGAATAGATCATACGTGGAGATTGTAGAGGATGGATCTGCTGATCTGGTCATACAACAGGTTGATGATAGTGAAGAGGAAGAAGAGAAGGAGATAAAGCCTAACATTAGGTAGCTAACGTGGGAACCAACAGAGCTGGCATGTCTGCAACTTACGCTGACTTCCTGTATCTCTCTCTTTCCGTGGTCAGAGTCTGGCTCACAAAGGTATCAGACTGACTTAAAAGTGATGACCTAATATAACTTGCATGCTTTCCAAACAGGTCATGGTATCCATTCTGAACTTTGTTGCCCTAAAATACGTTGCTGCACTGGAAAGAAAGACCTAGCTTGAGTTGGCATGATGGATGAACAATTAATGCTCTTCCTTTTATTACAGAGATACCTTTTTTCTTTTAATATTGAAAGATCTACTTAGCAAACTTTTCTCAAAGAAAATATTTTAAATAAATTTACCACAACCAGACTTTATAGTAAGATAATTTCAAGGTGTTTCAAAAACACAAACTACCAATATTGAATTTTCACAAGGAACCAGGTAAGAGCACATTTAAGGGTCTGGCACCCTGACCTGACTGAATTATAAGTCTTTCTATTAATTTCAGATCTAATTTAATTTCAGATCTAAAACAACCTTTCAGTATCCCAATATTATAGATATTGTTTTAGGATTATGGCAGACAAATCTAAAATGTGTGAAACTGTTCATATTTGAATTTCTTGTCATTAAGGTAAATATGACTCTTATGTAGTCAGTATTGTTTAAAACAAAACAAAACCTAAATAGAGGCAGACCAGAGATTACATACAGACATCATCTTCTAAAGCAGGAAACAAATACTGCCTAAAAGTCAAGGTAGTTTGTGAAGATCTGTCAATACAATTCTCTTCCTCTCTAAAGGAAAACAAACAAAAAACCAAAAAATGATGAACAAGAAAATTGGAGGTTACCAGTTCTTAAGAGTAATTTCTAACATTTATTGTTCTGCTATATTATTTCTAAAGTGCTCTCTCACGCATTTTCTCACTTAATCAGCAAGCTAGATATTATTGTCTCTAATTTACAAGTGAGGAAATTAATCAGAAAGCTTAAGTGGCTGGACCGGTGATGGACAGGTCTTGATTTTAAACAGCCCTCTTTCAATTGTCCCTGTATTGTCTCCTGAAATGGCAAAGAATTGAAGTCAAACCTCACCAATCTGCAGTAATTAGAAAAAAAAGCCTATTCGAATTAGAAAGTATAAAAGAAGAAATTAATAAGCTTCAACAACACATAATAACTTGGACTAGAGTTACCCAAGAGTGCTCAGAGATGTCCCTCCAGCGTCTACTGACTGTTTTTAATGTCAGGTTATTTATATGTAAATGTTATGTATAACACTCTTTGAAGAAGTTATCTCTTACATGCTTTAAGCATTTTTCTTATCTTGTTTATATCATTTTTCAAAACAAACTTTTCTCCTAGGATATAAAGATGTGTTTAAACTCCTCCCCTGTAAGGGGTGCCTGGCTGTGACTCTTGATCTTGGGGGTTGTAAGTTTGAGCCCAAGTTGGTTGTAGAGATTACTTAAAAAAAATTTTTTTTATATAAAATAAACTCCTTCCCTATATGAATTAGGAAACATTCTAAAAGTAAAGTTCAATCAGAGAAGCATTATTTTAGTTCTGAAGATAAAATCTGAATCCCGGAAGAACCAACCTTACTGAAGGTTGCTTCAAATTATTACAGTTAAGCTTGATATAATTTAATTTTGATAGGGCTCCATGTATTATACTGTATTTCTAAATGTCATTACATCCCTCAAGATGATACTTTTCATTTTCTTTTTTCTCTTATTCTTTAATTACTGATTGTCTTGATACCGATTGGAGGGCTAAAATGGTTCATTTCTAAAACATTTTTTACAAATAGAATGAATAACCATTTGTTTTTGTTTTATGGTACTTAATGCTGAGACCTTTCCAAGATTCCCCTGATGGTAAATTTCCAGTTGATTCAAGACTGGATGGCATGCACCGAGTTCACTATTCTCCCAGCATGACTGTTCCTGAATCAGGAGTCTTAACAATTAAGTTGTATCCAAATGAGGGAACACTTGTCATTCTTTAGTCTCACCAGATGGTAACATCTTTTTTAAAATTATTATCTGATTTTTAGTCCTTGGAGCCAATAGGAAAAATGAGTGATTGGAGCTTTACTCATGAGAATGAAGTAGTGCATGTGTATGCTATAACACACTTTCGTCTGTGATCTAACTGTTCTCTTAACGCTTCTGCATGCAAACATCAGCATGAACGTCAGCAAAGTCCACGGAACACACTGCCACCAGCACCTGGACAGCCTTATCTGAAATAATGCTTTCTCATTGTTTATAACAAGCATCAAGTTCTCCCCACAAAACAGCCATCAAGTTCATCAAACTAGACAGTGTATCTGTTTTACCATTTTAGTATCATGAAAGAACATTTGTGACATTTGTAAGTTGTAAATAATAACTCCAGTTATCATATCATATGTATCTAAGACTAGAGACCGATTCTTTCCTAGAGTGAGACTGTCAAATTAATGGTTTCTGAGAAAACAAAATTCTTTGGCTTTTAAATGTGGGAAAATGTTATGTAGGGGTATAATCTGTTAATATAAGCTTTATTTATGCCAAGGATTTTTTTTTAATATTAGCAAAATAGTGGGAGTTGGTTAGAACAAAATTTGCTCTTACAGTAATGCTGTTGATCAGCTTCTGAACGTCCTTCTAACTCTGGTCCTCAAGAGTATGTGGTGATGGGAAGAAGTCTTGCAAAATAAAGCAACATTGCAGTCATGCCTAGTGGCTGGAGGAAGCAAAATGGACTAGATCAGTGGTTTAAGAGATTTTTTTTTTTACCCAAGAAACCCTTTCTTCAAACCCTTTCATGGAGAACCTCACCATTTAAGGGAGAAACTAAAATCAGAGCTGCTTTTGTTATAGCCTCCTACTAGCTTTCACCAGACACCTCTGCAGAACTCGGGAGGGCAGCACTGAAAACCTTGGAACAGGAGAGCTTTTTGAATTCCCTTTGAGCATTGGGGTCTCACTTCATTACCCCTATTACTCACTGTGCTTACAAGCTGGTAATCAGAGGGTCTTCTAGAGCAGCAGATCACATCCTTAGTCTATAGAATGTTCCGTATATAGTTATCAGGTCTCAAGACTTTTGAAAAGCATACTTTTCAACAGTGTATTTTTGAGTAATAGAATCAAAACAAACATAGTAACTGCTCTTATGCTATGAAGTTACTGCTTAATGGATGAAGAAAGTTTGGTGTGTCAGTTACTTAAGAGCTCAGAACTGAATTCATTATTTTGCAAAGTCATGTTAAGATACATTGAAATTTCCACTCATATTGGATATATATGTGTGTGTATACATATATATATATATATCCTAAATTAATACTATGGAAATTTAATACTATGGAAAATCACTAAAAGCAATATAGTGTAAGAGGTATTTAACTGGGAGGGGTGATGATAGGTACTGGAGGACCAAACTTTAGATTATAAATGTTATTTTATATTAGAGTGGATCAGTATTACTATTTATCATTTATATAGCATTTTATATTTGCAAAGTATTTAATAATTTTTATGTTATTCTTTACATATCTATGAAATAGGACAGTTATCTCACATGAAAGGTAAAGAAATTGAGGCACAGAACAGTAAAGCAGCCTCCCTAAGGCAACCCAGTAAAACAATGGCAAAAATAGGAATTAGAATGATCAGATTTTGGGACGCCTGGGTGGCTCAGTTGGTTAAGCGGCTGCCTTCGGCTCGGGTCATGATCCCAGGGTCCTGGGATCGAGTCCCACATTGGGCTCCTTGCTCAGCAGGAAGCCTGCTTCTCCCTCTCTCTCCCTCTGCTTGTGCTCTCTCTGTCAAATAAATAAAATCTTAAAAAAAAAAAAAAAGAATGATCAGATTTTCTGAACCCTAGAATATCAGCTTAATTCACTGAGGTGTGTTGTGTATTACCCTATTTTATAAGATGCCTTTATACAAATAATAGTCAGTTGTCTTAAAGTTGACATCATTGTATGTGGATAAATCCTATACAGAATAAATATTATGTAAAGGATGTGACTTTAGTTATAGGAGTTTTAATGATAAAATTCAGGTTATCACAGAAACAGCACCATTTAGCCAGTGGCTTTATATATTGTGTAGTATAATTAATGTTTTATTTTGATATAGGAGTTTAACTATTCATGCTAATGGAGCCATGAATAGACCAGAAAAATGAAATCCACAGAGGACCTATAAACTTCATCTTCGAACATTAGTCTTTTCCCTACAGAATTTGTATTCATGACAATAGGTCGAATATGTTAATAAACAATAAACCACACACCAGAGAAGCCAAGGGCCTCTTAACTTTTCAAGGCTTTTCAATACTGAAATAGCATGATAAACACCTTTCTCCATCTTTTTTTGGTTGTTTTATTTTCACACCCGTTTCAAAAGCCATTGGAAACTTAACACCTTTAGATTGGAAACCAGTGACCAACGTAATGCCAGTCACTTCTACCTTTGGTCTTGATTAGATTATTTACAAACATTATTAAATGGAATACAACTTATAAAATACATCTAAGAATTTATTATACTTTGCTTTGCTCTTTCAGATTTCTAGATACGTGAATTCCTTTGTTGGAATATAGTTTCTTGATTTTCCCATTGGGAAAATCTTTTAATTCCTTGTTGATATTATTTACAACTGTTTAGTTTCTTTATTAAAGAGTAACTTATTTTTATTCAGAGGAAAATGGAACATTTCTGCCTAGACCATAGTTCTTGGCCTTGGCTGCACATTAGAATCACTTGTGAAGCTTTTAAAAATACAGATGCCTTGGGGCGCCTGGGTGGCTCAGTTGGTTGGGCAGCTAGGTCCTGGCATGAGCCCCTTGTCGGCAGACTCCCTTCTCCGCTTCACCTTCTCCCCCTGCCCCTCCCCCCCTCCTCGTGCCATGCTCTGTCTCTCTCTCTCAAATCAATAAAATCTTTAAGAAATAGAAAATAAAAATACAGATGCCTAAGCAAATCACAATCTTTGGCAGATGGGGCCTGGATGAA